ATAAAATTATCCTAAACCATTTCTAACTCAAGCACCAACGTACTTGACATCTCTGAATCATGGCAGGATTATAAAAAAGTAATGCGGCAGTGAGCCAGGGAGCCCAACCCTGCAAAGCTTGTGGGCTGGCTGTCAGGCCCACGCGCCCCACAACACCAGTCGCTCACTCTGCCCTCCGCCCCACAGGCCGCACGAGACAGGGGGGAAATTAACCATGCCAAGTCCTCAAATCAAGGAGACATTGAATGTGTGCATAGAAAATGAGACAGAGAAAAAGAAAACTTTTTTGCATGCATATTATCTGCAACAACTCAAAACAAATAAGCAAGCATCTCCTCAAAACTGCAGGGAAGAAAATTTAACACCTTTTTTTTTTGAAGTCAGGGAAAGGAAGTGGAAATTGAGTGCCATATCCACTACTACTAATTTAAAATGTGCAAAATGTCAATTGCATTGTCTTTATTTAGACATCAGCCTTCAGGATTAATGTAGAAATGAAAAGACTTTTTCATACACTTATCCCCACTCACAACCTTATTTTTCCACAAGATCTCAAGCCCTGCAAAAACAAATTTTCCTTTTTGCTTACCAAAACCCCAGAAGTGATTCTAGCCTCGTGAAAAAAAAGAGAAAAGAAAAAGTATATTCAGTTTCCTAAACTGGGGCAGACTAGCTAAAAACATTTACATGCATTGTGTTGACGTGTGACACATTCTGTACCACTACCTCCCCTCATCTTGTCACCTGCTCCTCACCCCCTTGATTGACAGAAACTGGCATGTGCCTGGTGTTCAGTTAAGCATTCACTGAACTAAACTGAATGGAATGGAAAGGCTGGCAGAAGGAAAGGCCTCAGGAGGAAGTGCCCCTGAAGGGGAAACCCGAGGGATGGATGAGCCAGTGTGGCCACGGGGTGCAGGGGCAGCGGCGGGAGTAACGGAGCTGCAGGGATCCACTGTGATCATAATGTCATGTTAAGGGGTTTGGACCTGATTTTGCAGGTGATAGGGAGCTACCAAAAGGGGGTAGTTGTAGTGTCTTAGAGAATTCACTCTGGCAGCAGAAAGGGGTGAATGTTGGTGGGGGCTCGGGTTAAGTAAAAAAATGGGGGGCAAGAAGAGCAGGCAGGGATCCAGTGAGTGTCAGTGCAGACGGGAGGTGGCGAGGGCCTGCCCCGGGGGAACAGGAGTAGGAATGGGGACACCAAGGAGAGAGATGGAAGTAGAATCAACAGGATTTGGTGATCTGTTGGGTGGAATGTTTTTTATCTGAGCCTCAGTTTACCCCTACCACCTGCAAAAGCAGATTCCAAGACAGAGACTTATGTGCAAGCAGTTTATTTGGGAGGAAGAGAGAGGCATCAGGTAAGTGGAACAAGAAAGAATGAAAAAGAAATACAAGGGTACCACTGAGTTACTACAAAGTCAGCCACTGCTGCAGGTGACTGGTGCTTGAGATCTCTCTCAGGCCCTCTGAGGAGCCACGGGAAATGTGTCCTCCATAGGTTTTCTCCCCCATTGGTTCAGGGAGCCCCACAGGTGTCAATTCCCCCGACTTGGTAGCCCGCGCACGTGCAAGGGCTGAGCAGGCTCTTGGCTCCTTGCGTGTCCGCATCAACATCAGGGAGCCCAGGGCAACAAAGGAGAGTAAACCAAGGCCTGATGTCAACCCAAGGCATGTCTTACTGCAGTTGAACTAAAACTGGTAGCAGCCCGCTTGGAGCTAGTAAGTCAAAGGTAGAGGGTTCTGGTGGAATGGGCACATATCAAGAAGTGAAATAGGCTGGGCGCTGTGGCTCACGCCTGTAATCCTAGCTCTCTGGGAGGCCGAGGCGGGCGGATTGCTCAAGGTCAGGAGTTCAAAACCAGCCTGAGCAAGAGCGAGACCCCGTCTCTACTATAAATAGAAAGAAATTAATTGGCCAACTGATATATATATAAAAAAATTAGCCGGGCATGGTGGCGCATGCCTGTAGTCCCAGCTACTCGGGAGGCTGAGGCAGGAGGATCGCTTGAGCCCAGGAGTTTGAGGTTGCTGTGAGCTAGGCTGATGCCACGGCACTCACTCTAGCCTGGAAAACAAAGCGAGACTCTGTCTCAAAAAAAAAAAAAAAAAAAAAAAAAAAAAGAAGTGAAATAAAAGCAACCAAGTTAGTTTTTATGCAATATTTCCACTGTTCTGATAAGAACAAGATGCACAGGCATGTACAAGTTACAAAATAAAAATTGTGTCATTTCAATGATTCTGCATGTGCATTAAATGTTCCTTCCTACATTTGCATTGTGAACTAGCATTATACACTATGAGTGGTAAAATTCATGGTAATGATTTAAAATTAAATTTAATGATTTTGTTTTTCTTTACTTAGAACAATGTTAAGTAGCAAGTAAAAAGAACCTGTGGCCAGCCGAGAGTCTGGAAATAAAGGGAAAAGCTTCATATTTATTACCTTTAACATCACCTCTTTTCTGCTTTTCTAACAAGGGGTCCTACGTTTTCATTTTCTCTAGGACCTACAAATCTCAAACTCAAGTCCCACTTGATGATGGACAAAGTGACATTTTATTTGTAGGACAGCTGTGTGTGTGTGTGTGTGTGTGTGTCCATCAGTTTGCATGGCAGGTGTTGTGTGGGAACAGCAAGAGGATGGCGGGTGTTGGAACTCAGATGTCACATTACTGCCATCTTGTGTCCAATACAGTGTACAGCACACAGCTCCAGGGGGAGGCCCACAGGTGTGTGGCTGCTTCCAGAAGTGCTAAGACTCCACACCCTAAGGCCAAAATGGCACACCGACAGGATGCCCCTGGGCTGGAGCTATCTAATGGAGGCAGAGGTGCGATGAGAACAGAGGTTTCACCCGCCGCTCACACACACCACTGCAGAGTGGTTGAAGCTGAAATGCATGTGTGCATGCATGTCTGTGTGGGGGTCCCTGTGCCTTTCTCTCCCCTTCCACAGGTTCTCTTCCTTCATTCCCACCCTCCTCCTCTTTGTAGGACCCTCTCATAAACCAAGAAGTCTGGTTTTTTTATGAGTCAGACCACATCCAGCTCTCCTGTGGAAGACCTGGCCGTCACGCGTGGTCCTTCTTGGAGAACAACGTCACTGGGAAGCACCGAGAGGTAGATGGGGAGGGTGTGCAGGTCCAAGGATGCCGGTGACTCACATGGGCCAGACTCTGGGGACAAACACACACCAATAAATATTCTTACTATGTGACTGCAGGGCTCCGCCAAGTTAGTTCTGTTACTTACCAGCTACAAAATAACAAAAAGGAATCATGAATTAATCCTCCCCCAAAACAGAGAAGTTAAGGAAATGATCAGTCCTGCATTAGGTATGGATTAGACACCAAGGGGCCAACAATTTACCTGATGGCAGACACAGAAGCCAGAGAAATGAGACAAAGGGGAGAGGGAGCGACTTGGTACTAAATATGAACGAGGCAAGCACACCGAGTTCTTTACTTCTTGCTGCTTTAATCAGGGTTCCGGCTGCACCCATCCCCAAGGACAAGCAGGGGGTATTGATGGGGACCAAGAATGACCCCTTCCTTCATGCCCCTTAAAAAACACATTTTTCAAACATTTTGTGTGAAGTAATAAATGGACTTCAACATATTTTTCAGTCTAAAAGTAATACATATAAATTAATGGGGAAAAGGGAAAAATTTAAAGACCATAAAAATAACCCGTAATCTCCTCACTCATCTTCACTCTTAGTATTTGAGTGTGTTTCTTTCTAATCTTTTTTCTATTTATCTACCTAATCTATACCTATACCTGTATCTATAAATACATTAAGTATATATTTTAAAAAGGGGAACCCCTCAGATTAAAACATATTATTTCTTGGCCGGGCGCTGTGGCTCACGCCTGTAATCCTAGCTCTTGGGAGGCCGAGGCGGGCGGATTGCTCAAGGTCAGGAGTTCAAAACCAGCCTGAGCAAGAGTGAGACCCCGTCTCTACTATAAAATAGAAAGAAATTAATTGGCCAACTGATATATATATAAAAAAATTAGCCGGGCATGGTGGCGCATGCCTGTAGTCCCAGCTACTCGGGAGGCTGAGGCAGGAGGATCGCTTGAGCCCAGGAGTTTGAGGTTGCTGTGAGGTAGGCTGACGCCACGGCACTCACTCTAGCCTGGACAACAAAGTGAGACTCTGTCTCAAAAAAAAAAAAAAACATATTATTTCTTAATTCATTTAACTCTCTTCTTACTGTTGGACTTTTTTCTTTGTTCTTGTTGTAAATAATTCCACGGTAAATGTCCTTATATATAAATTTTAGACATTTTGAGTATTTCCTTAGAATAGATTCCTTAAAGTAGCATAACTGGGTCAATAGTTATAAACTTTGAAAAGATGCTTGCCAAATTGCTTTGTAGACAAGTTATGCTAAGTTATATTCCTACCACTAGGGCATAAAATTAGTCATTTCCCCACACCTATGACAACACTAAATTTTTGTTAAACCTTTTCTAATTTGCTAGCATAAATTGATCTCATTGTTTTAACTTGCATTCTCTTGGAAAGTAGTGAGGTTGAACACTTTTTTTTTTTCTTTTTGAGACAGTGTCTTGCTTTGTTGCCCAGGTTAGAGTGAGTGCCGTGGCATCAGCCTAGCTCACAGCAACCTCAAACTCCTGGGCTCAAGCAATCCTGCTGCCTCAGCCTCCCAAGTAGCTCAGACTACAGGCATGTGCCACCATGCCCGGCTAATTTTTTCTACATATATTAGTTGGCCAATTAATTTCTTTCTATTTATAGTAGAGATGGGGTCTGGCTCTTGCTCAGGCTGGTTTCGAACTCCTGACCTCCAGCAATCTGCCCGCCTTGGCCTCCTAGAGTGCTAGGATTACAGGCATAAGCCACCGCGCCCGGCCTGAACACTTTTAATGTTATTAGACATTCAGAGAATTGTCTACTGGGATTTAAATGCTTAAAAATATTTTCATCTATATTTTCTTTTTTTTAAGGTTTTGTTAGTAGTTAGCTTTTTTTTTCCTTTGGAAAAGTATTTATTGAGTATAAATAAATGTTCTATACATTAAATATCAAGAAATATTCATTATTGATTATAAGTCAGGCTGTAATACTGAGGGAACCATAGAATCAAAATATCTACTCATGATACAGCAGTGATAATTCCATTCCAATATTGGACACAGTAATGATTTGCTCACAAGACACAACAAAATTCATCAGAAAAAGGCTATCACTTTAACCAACCTATAATACCACAATAGAAAATGGTTTTGAATCAGAGTATGAACAGCCCTGATAATTTCATTTTCCTTTTATGAATTTATCAGGTCATTTTGATACTGTAGCATTTTGATACTGTAGTACACTGTCACAGATTTTAAAGATTCCCATTTCCTTGGTTTTATTTCAAGTGATTATTAATGAATGAAAATGAGTCATACAAAGCCGAAGATACATTTAAGTAGTTAGTATTTTGTAAGAGAAAAAGGAATCAAAGTTTAGTACAAAGAAAGCATCTCCCAAGTGATGAGTCTCCTACTGGGGGGGCGTGTGGGGGAAAGAGCAACGTAATTGACCTTTCCTTCAAAGGAAAGAAACCTAAATCTGTTATGGCAAATTTGGAATGATAAAATATTTCCCAGTCCCATCATGTATGCTTGTTTTGTACGATGTACTTGAGTGATGTAAGTCTATGAAGCAGGGGTCTGTGGCAACCCAAATTCATCCACCAGAACTCCATCCTTGTTTTTTGTGTCAGCGGGAACACCTTCTGGAATTGCAGGTGCAGATGCTGCTTCATCCAAGTAGGAACTATCTTCACCAGCCAGGAGCTCATCGCCCAACGCATCCAGCTCTGCTTCTAGGTCATGTTCGTCTAATGCTGGGGTGCCGTAACTGCGACTCTGTGCTTCTTGGATTTCGTTTGCATCTCCCATCATATCCTCTAGCTGGTTTTGTAAATCCTCAATCTGGTCTATTTTCACCTGCTTGTGTGCCTTTTTCATTTCGTTTACTCCCAGTTTCATAGCATCAACCATGGTCTTGGTGTTCTTCAATGGCTGGACGGTGTGATTGGCTTGTCCCATGCTGAAAGACCGCTGGGCGCGGCTGGCCCGCTGCTGCTCATGCATCTGCCTTTGCTTTAAACCCCGCAAGGCTCTCTGCTTGGCCGTGTTCTTTGCAGGGCCCTCTCTCGTCTTCTTGATCTGATCCTTATACTTCACTAGCTCAGCATCCAATCGAGAAATCTTCTTGTCAGTGGATTCTGCCTGGCTGTCCACTGTGCCAACGCAGTCTGGGCGGTGGAGTCTTGGGTTTCGCTTTCCCGAAGAATTGGTTCATCTTGGGCGGCCATGAAGAAACCCAAACACTGGAGCAAAACCAGACCGTACTTAGCTTTTTAATTTATCTAACATTTATTTTAATATACAGTAACAAATGAAAGCATAATTTTAAAAGTTCTCTCAAATCTTTACCCAGTTGTTCCAATACCACTTGCTCAATGATTTTAATGCTTCATTTAATATATAACCAAATTCTAATTATACTGGGTTTTCTTTCTGGCCTATGTATTCTAGTTTATTTACCTGTCTGTTGGTTTTGGTGCCAGTACCACACTAGCTCAATCACAATGGCTCTAAAATATACAGTATATTAATATCTGGCAGGGCAAGACTATTCATTAACTCTCTTTTTTAAAAAATTTCATAGCCTACCTCCCTCCTATCTACTTATTCTTTTATATGTATTTTAGAATTATTTCATTAAGAAAAATCCCATTGGAATACTGATTGAAGTGGCACAAAATCTATACATTAATGATACATTTTATAAATCTATACATTAAGGATACATTTTATAAGTTAGGATTCCGTGACAACAGTCAGGCCTTTATCCTTGAGCCAACACTTCTTCAGAGTACAACATGGAGTGAAGATTAAGAGCACAGGCCTTGGGGAAATTTAGGACAAAACATGAAGCTTAAGCATCTTGTATTAATAGATAGCCTGTGTAAGTTGGGATAAGATTCACAAAAGGGAATTTATGAAGGAATTTTATATGTGACCAAGTTGGTTATAATTAAAAAGGAAATTTTTTTGTTAAAATAATAAAGATTTCTTAAAATATTAATTTGTTCTTAGTGAAATTATATGACATATTAATTTTAATTCTATAACCTGTTTCCTTTTTTAATTAAAAAAATTATCCAGTGGTTCACGACTGTAATTCTAGCACTCTGGGAGGCTGAGGTGGGCAGATAGCTCGAGGTCAGGAGTTTGAAACCAGCCTGACCAAAAGCGAGACCCTGTCTCTACTATAAAATAGAAAGAAATTAATTGGCCAACTAATATATATAGAAAACATTAGCCGGGCATGGCGGCGCATGCCTGTAGTCTCAGCTACTTGGGAGGCTGAGGCAGGATTGCTTGAGCCCAGGAGTTTGAGGTTGCTGTGAGCTAGGCTGACGCCACGGCACTCACTCTAGCCTGGGCAACAAAGTGAGATTCCGTCTCAAAAAATATAAATTCTCCAGAAAAAAAATAAAGAGCATAGGCCTTTGACCAGCACTAATGCAATGAGTTTGGCAAGTTTCCTAACCTCTCTGTGTCTCAATTTCATCATCTATACAATCATTCTTATTATTTTATTAGATCTATAATCAATATGGCTACTAGAACTGTCTCTCACAATCAAATTTCAAAATATTTAACTCACATTTTACTCTGTCCACCCAAAAAGTACGTTAAAGCCTCCAAATGAAAGAATATAAGGAAAAAGCAAAGGGAACATAACAGGCACTGGGAGATCTTTCCACCTGTATCTAAATCTATAATCCCTAATTGAATATAAATATCCGAAGAACAAGGATTTTTTTCCAGTTCCCCCACCTCCCACATAGTTACACACTGGTACACAATGGGCACTTAAATATCTGTTGAATGGTTAAATGAATGAATGATGATAATTCTCCTGATTCTAATATTCCAGGACAGCAAGGCCAAAAGTCTTCCCCAAAGGCTGTCAAATGGCCAAGGAAAATTTCAGACTCCTTGGGAGAACTCCAGGTAAAGTGAATCTTCTTTAGGCCCTGCTAAGCTTCCCTACACACTAAGGGAGGAGGGTGCATTGAGGGAGAAATCTTAGGCTGTTATAGAAAACCAACACAGTTAATTAGAAAGAGATTCCTGTCTCACTCACACTGTTAAATTGCTTTGATCTCTTCATAAAGTGAAAAACAGCCGAATAAGATATTAATGCTGTATAAGGTATTTGTATACCCATGTCCAGAGCAGCATTATTCACAACCACCAAAAGGTAGAAGCAGAGCAAGTGTCCATCCACAGATGAATAGAGAAACAAAATGTAGTATAGCCATACGGTGGAATATTATCCAGCCACAAAAAAGAACGAATACTGAACACATGCTGCAGTATGAATGAATCAAAGCCAGACACAAAAGGACAAATACTGTGTGATTCCAATTATATGAGCTACCTAGAGGAGTCAAATTCACAGGGACAGAAAGTAGAATATTGATTGCCAGGGGATGAGGAGAAGAGGGAATGGACAGTTATTGTTTAATAGTACAGAGTTTCAGTTTAAGATAAAAAATTTCTGGAGATGGATGGTGGTGATGATTGTACAACAATGTTAACATAATGTCTATGAACTGAACACTTAAAATGTCTAAGATAGTAAATTCTATGTTATGCTATGTGTAGTGTACCACAATTTTTTAAATTAAATTTTCTCCTAATACTGTTTAAAGAGGTGTTCAGAAGTTTCTAGATAGTTGAACACGTGGAGGTTCCTGGAGAGTGGTGCGCCAAGAAAGGACATGGAAGCTCCACACCCCTTCCCACATACCTTGCCCTATGCATCTCTTCCAACTGGCTGTTCATCTGTGTCCTTTATAACATCCAATAAACCAGTAAAGAGCCGGCAGGGCTGCACCAGCATGAACTCCCCATTGCCAGAAGAGCTCTGGCAATGCCTCTTTGTCCTAGGCTGCCTCTTTGTCCAGTAGTGCTTTGCTGCCTCTGATGGGGCAAACACACAGGTCGGCCTGGGCTCCAATGTCTTAAGCCTGAGTCCTTCCAGCCACTTCCCAGGGAGATATAGTTGAAGTCCTGTACCTGCTTTAGAGGTATATAATTCTCCTAACTAGTCTTCCTATGGGATTGTAGAGGTGGATTTCTGGCTCCATTCCCTGTCATACCAATAATATAGAACAAAAACACAACCTACAAAGAGAGAGAGACAGAGAGAGAGAGGGAGACATGCTTTCAGAACTAGGTTCTAAAGAAAGGAGGCAAAAGGCCACAGAGCATAGAGCTGGCTCACCCATTTCATTAGCTGATTACCGACAATGGCCCTTGATTGTGGGGAGGGAGAGAAGGGTATCACATGGGCTTGAGTTAGAAATGCATGTCTGCCTGATGCTGGTCTAGGAATTTTCTAACATTATCATTACAGAGTGAGGTTTTGTTGTATTTTCCTGCCAGCTGGCCTCAGGCAGACCCTCCCCAGTCCATTACACATGTTCCAATAATCTTGAACCTCTAAGGCAGGGGTCCCTAACCTATGGTGAGCTGTATAATATTTCATTATATATTACAGTGTAATAACAATAGAAATAAAGTGCACAATAAATGTGATGCACTTAAATCATCCCCAAACCATCCCCTGCTCCCTGGTCTGTGGAAAAATTGTCCTCCATGAAAATGGTCCATGGTGCTAAAAAGGTTGGGGACTGCTGTTAAAGAAAGGAGCCTGGGCCAGGCAAGGTCGTTCACGCCTGTAATCCTAGCACTCTGGGAGGCCGAAGCGGGAGGATTGCTCAAGGTCAGGAGTTCAAAACCAGCCTGAGCAAGAGCAAGACCCCGTCTCTACTAAAAATAGAAAGAAATTCCAACTAAAAATATATAGAAAAAATTAGCTGGGCATGGTGGTGCATGCCTGTAGTCACAGCTACTGGGGAGGCTGAGGCAGGATTGCTTAAGCCCAGGAGTTTGAGGTTGCTGTGAGCTAGGCTGACACCATGGCACTCTAGCCCTGGCAACAGAGTGAGACTGTCTTAAAAAAAAAAGAAAAAGAAAGGAGACTGCATTCAGCTCTCCTTCCTCCCAGAAGGCTCCTGTGTAACAACACAGATGTAAACTGCACTTGAGTATGTCCTCACTCTATCCACCAGTATATCTAAGATACAGGTACTTGCCAGGCTAATACATATTCCTTGATACTCTTCTACCAGCATTGCAGGTGGCTGGTACTTGCCTTACATCCATAAAAGAAAAGGGGGTCTCTCAAAGGGTCCATTGCAGAGGAAAGACAGCTGCTGTGAAAATAACCTGAAAAGTTAGTCTCCCATACTCCAGACTGAAAGCAGCGGTTTTAAATGGCAATTCCCCCCTCCCCAACAAGGCAAACAAAATGTTAAGGCCCTATTCACCTAAAACACCAATGCAGACATATATAAAAAAAATAGACATATAGACTATCGTTGCCATCATCATCACCACCACCACCACCACCACCGTCATAGCGGAAAGAAGAGCTCTGCGCGCTCTGCAGGAGGTGATGACAGACACGAAGGTGTCAGTAATAATCCCGTTTCCGGCAAGCAGCGCCCTCAACTGAGCGGAGGATGCGGGAGGAGAAGCACGTTGAGCGGGACGGAGAAGGACGCGAGCGTACAGGAATCGGTGCTGATGAACTGGTAGGTGGGGCGAAAGGAAAGGACGAGGGTAGGACCAAGGTAGTTTAAGAAAATGTGTAAAAATGACGGGAGTAGGGCACCTAACGACCAGCGTCCCGTAAGCACTCAGTACCAACACCTACTCCCCCACTTTGTAATTTTGCCCAAATTCTGTGGGATATCGCGAGAGCTCACATCCCGTAACTAACCCCTCCTTCCTGCGTGCGGCCCACCCGCACGCTGCCCCGCCCCCAGGGGCCAGGCCCCGCCCCTTCCGTGTTTCAGGACTGGGCTTGTTAATAAAGTTGCAGCGGTTTGGCGCTTGCGGCGGACAAGATGGCGGCCTCCATGCTGGGCTCGCTGCTGCGGACGCTCCGGCAGGTCAGGCCCGCGCGATGGTTCCCGCCCTTATCCCTCACCCTGGAGCCTGTAACCCGCGGGTTCCCACGGCTCCTCCTCGGGCTTGCCTCAGGGGAGCTGTGAGCTGCTGGTGTACATTTGGTTTTCGCGAGCATGTAACTGGCATTGAAAGATGCGAGACTGACTCCGGTTTATAGGGTATTCAGTTTAAGTAGAGAGGAGACGGTCCGAGCACTGGGCCTCAGAGCACTGGGCCTCAGAAACTGCGTCGATAAGAGAGGAGAACCTCGCAAAGGAGACTGGAAGGGCCTGTCAGCGAGTGCTCTTCTGATTCCTTCTAATTTTATAGTTAAGGAGAACGTGAAGTCATCAGCTGAGTGTGAGGATGTGGGAGCAGGTGTCATGGTTTTAAGGAAAGGGAGACCATGTAAAATAGTTGGGAATGGACAGGAAAAAATAGTTGAGAGAATTGGAGTAAGTACAGAGAAGTGAGAGATGGCCAGGAAGTTGAGAGTGTATTCAAGAGAACATTGTATTCATGGACCATGAAATTCAGGCTGGATGTGAGGGAAAGACAGGAAATCAAAAGCTGAGAGACAGTAAAAAGATGGTAGGATCAATGGATTGAAAGTCCCAGAGGAGTTGTCATTGAGGAATTAGAAGGAGCAAGCTGGAAAGAAGTGATAGAGAATAAGGTACACAAAACTGAGATAATAGAGGGGTTGCATTTATTGGTAATGAAAGACCTAGGGCATGTAAGTGAATAAAGAAGAGTGGAGAACAAAAATCATTTTAAAAGGGGAGTTCAGAGATCAGAGTGATCAGGGTATGATTTCATGTATATTGAAATCACCAGGAATTAAGACGGAAGAATATTGGAGACAGTGACTGTGAGCCATGATCCAAAATCATGGAAAAATGAAAGGGCCGTGGTAGACGGCTGCAACAATGAGAGGTGGCAGGAGGTAAGCCCAATGGCATGAGAGCCAAAGCCCAGGGGGTTTCAAGAAGGAAGGAGGTCCAGAAGCTGCAATGAAGAGCAAGGAGAACACCTATCTACCCTACCTCCACACCCAATCCTGGAGAAAAGAGCTACAGGGGAAGCTGTCAGGAGGGATTCAAGATTAGACCAAAAGGTGAAGGAGATGTTAAATTCAGGATTTAGAAGATTTTGATGATGATAGGCCATGAATTGAGAGGGCCCAGTGGAAAAGTTTTAGGAGGTGAAGAGGGATAAGAAATGGGGGCAGGATAGGGTGTGTACAGAGCAGAAAAGAATGCAGTCTTAATAAAGCACTGTTATAAGCTGATAATGAAATACAGTAGAAATGTAGGCAAAGGAGATGAAAACATTCATAGAAGAAATAATACAGACCAATACATATTTTATTTTAAAAGTATATTACTTTTATAGTCATAAAAACAGGTGTTCAAAATAGAATGAAAGATTATTTTAAAAAATAAATAGAAACCTTTAAGGAGACAGTAAAGAAGGTGATTAGGCATAGTTTGAAAAAGAATTCAAAGAATAAATGTTTAATCTTGTTTTATAAATCCCCTTTTTCATAGGTGAAAGCAAACTTCACATGGCCCCTCACATGAATTGTTTCTTCCAGTCAGAATGATTTCTCCCTGGTCTTAAGAATATATTTTGCACTTTTCTGTGTTTTGTTTGGACAAACTGTATCTTCTCTTCCCTCTCCTGCCCCCCAGCTGTATCAAAAGTCTGTCAATCTTTCAAAGCTTTGCTTAAGCCTCCCTTCCCATAATTATTTCCAGCCATGGTTACCACAGTATTAACCGGACTCAGTCATATGCCAAATCAATATTTAAATTCTATCTGCTTCTCTTTTTTCTAAAAGGTGATTGTGAAATCATTATATTTCCCCATAGGATTTTTGTTTAGTAATGTGAGCATAGAAGGCGCTCAGTTTATCTTTTGTTAATAGATTGAAAAAATGTTGACTTTCTATTTAGTATTCTTATTTTCTGTTTTATATTCTGCTATTCGTATATTTCTTCTATAAACATCAGTTATAGGAAGCTATCGTTAATTTTGCATATCTGTAACTTAATTAGCATATAATATTTCCTCTGGTTTGAGGGAGACTTAAATTTCAAGTGATCTATATCCCTTTGCCTGTGTTGTCTGTCAAAACTATTACTATCACCATAAAAATGTATGACAATAAACAATGTACTATCTTATTACTGGACAACTAATGCTAAGAAATATTAGGTCAGTGATAATTTCAAAGTACTCTTTGACTCAGCAATTGTGCTTCCAAGAATGTATCTTGCAGATATATAATAATTTATATAAGACATTATTTGTTGCAGCATTGTTGTAATGATAGTGAGGTTTAGTCTAGCTGTCCACCAGTTGGTTGTACATTATGATGCTTCCAAACAGTGGAATATTATGCAATCTAAGGAAAATGAAGAAACTTCTTTCATACGTATATAGAAAGATCTCTGAAAGATATTGTTAGGTGAGAAAAATGGGAATGAAATGTGAGAGGCAGATTGTATACATGTATCTGTATAGATAAAACTCTCTGGAAGGATATACAAGAACTAGTAACAGTGGATGCTTATGGGTTTGAGGGTGTCACTGGGCAGGTGAAGAATGAGATGGGCCGGGCGCGGTGGCTCACGCCTGTAATCCTAGCACTCTGGGAGGCTGAGGCGGGCGGATTGCTCGAGGTCAGGAGTTCGAAACTAGCCTGAGCAAGAGCGAGACCCCGTCTCTACTATAAAGAGAAAGAAATTAATTGGCCAACTAATATATATATAAAAATGGGAGGCTGAGGCAGGAGGATTGCTTGAGCCCAGGAGTTTGAGGTTGCTGTGAGCTAGGCTGACGCCACGGCACTCACTCTAGCCTGGGCAACAAGCGAGACTCTGTCTCAAAAAAAAAAAAAAAAGAATGAGATGGGAGGAAACTTTTCACTGTATGACCTTTTATACTTTTTTATTTTTGAACCATGTGACTGTTGGCCTGAGTAAAGGTCAAACAGAATTATATTAGAAATTTCTGGAAATCTTTCACCATTCAACACATGCTATTGGTATTATGTTTGACTTAATGTATATCTATAACAGTTATTTATTCTGAATTAGGAAGCCTATTTTAAATTGCTAAAGTGATCCAAAACAGCTTTAAAGAAAATACTAGGTCATAAATAGTGACCAAAAGAGGATTGCAGAGTTTGGGACCCTCACAGAGCCTGGGCCTGACTGTCCATTACATGTTCCTTGTCTCTTTTAGATGGTTCCTTCATCAGCTTCAGGCCAAGTTCGAGGTTACTATGTAGACTGGAGAATGTTGCGTGATGTGAAGAGACGAAAAATGGCCTATGAATATGCAGATCAGAGGCTACGTATCAATTCACTCCGGAAGAATACAGTCTTGCCAAAAATTCTTCAGGTTAGCTAATTAAGATGAGTCCTTCTACTACAAGATCATTGACTCGCATCAGATCACTGTTGATGTTTGTTGTGAATTAGTATAATATAATTTCTAGAGAATGAGATACTTTAAGTCAATATAAACAAATAGCCTTGAAACTGATTTTGATAAATTTCAGATTAAAGACAACTATTCACTCCTAACTAGCCTTTCAACCATTTTGTTATGTCATCCTTAAAAGTTCTGGTGAATGGTGACCACACAGAAATTGGGCAATTATTTTCACCTAAAGTCTCTCTCCCACTTCATCTCAATCTTTCAACTCTCAAGGCATTGGGAGGCATTGCTGACTGAGGGAGCCATGTGCCTTGCATGTGGCCTCTTTCTTACCCAGGCCTATTGCTAGGTAGCCTGTCTTCCTGAACTCCCTCAACCACCTCTGTGTGCTGAGGTACCTTTCCATTTAGGCTTACTTTCTTGTCATGCTCTTCAAGTTGAATAAGATGATGTCAACCCTGCCTGGCTTCCTGAAGCATAAGGTCCTGCACTGAAGTGGTGACACACAATATCTACAAGAGGCTTGTCAGAGAGGATAAATCAAACTCAAGGCCACTCAACTTATCAAGAGCTCAGATTTTTAAAAAACAGTATTTATAGAAGTTGGCAGAATGATTTACATCCTATTTATTACAATGGATTCTTTTAAGTCTTCTCTTGATTCAGCTAGATAAGCAGAAAACTGAGGGCCCTGGACCACTCTGTTATGGCTTTTACTGGGACGGCATGAAGCTATCTGCCTCCACGTAGGGAGTAATAGGTGGCCTCTCAGAAACTCAGCTCACGACATTGTTGATCACAGGAGCAGAGAGTAGAATGGTTGTTACCAGGAGCTGGGAGGACTGGGGAGATTTTGGTCAAAGGGCATAAACTTTTAGTTATAAGATGAATAAATTCTGAAGCTCTAATTACAACATGGTGGCTGTGGTCAATATTACTGCATTGTATACTGGAAATTTGTTAAGAGAGTAGATCTGAAGTGTTCTTTGTTTTTATCATACACTGGTAATTATGTGAGGTGAGGGATGTTAATTAGCTTGATTGTGGTAATCATGTCACAGTGTATATGTACATTGAATGTGACACTGTACACCTTAAAATATACAACTTTTATTTGTCAATTATACCTCAAAAAAAGGTGGGAGCAGGGTGTTATTGAGTACATTATTTATGAAGACCTCCTCAGTAGCTGTGCAGAGACTGAATCATGGAAACTGACCATGGCTCTCTGTTGCCTGCCACATGGCTCACAAGTCAAATTTTATGTCCCACTTGTAACAAACTTGCAGACTTTCACAGCATGCACTTTTGTGTCCTGAGGCTTTTAACTTTTCTACTCTCATTTCTCTTTGCCGCAATTTCCTCCTTTGCAAACTGCCCTAAATCTTTTTGGGAATGAGTAGAGATGTGTATAAATAAATAAACTGTGGCCATTCTTTAAGGTCTGCCTCCATGAAACTGCTTCAATCTTCCAGCCCAGTCATTTTTTCTCTCCATTTCCTTCTACAGCACTTATTGTCTACAACTCATTGACTTAATCATGCTGATTTATATAATGCTCTAAGTATTACATAATGGCAATACATGCATAAGCTTTTAGTTTACATTACTGTAGTGGCTTTCATGTGTATTCTCTCATTTAATTTGTATCCTTTTAATGTGTTAGAGTAATTACTTCGCTTCCTTCACAGGCTATCACAGGGTCAATCATACTTGTCAGCACACTTGTCAGGTTAAAGTGAATATTACAAACACACATCTTAACTCACACAGTTAAAGCACATGCATGAATGAATCTCAACCGACAAAACCTTAGCCCAAGCTACTGCTATACTCCTTGCTTTTCTCCCCTCTATTCCTGTGCCCTTGCCAGATTCATTCTTTACGTTGCAAATGAATTTTTAAAATGGCAATTTCATCTGATCACTCCCCCTTCTCTAGCAATCAGAAGCTAATTTACCATACACTTATAGGGTTTGTGTGAACCTGCTCTTCCTTCCTCTCCAGTCTATCTCAGGCCACATTTCCTCGTACTTGACAGGTAGCCCAGAGATTTCAAACTTTTGTGATTCAAAAATTGTACGAGGAGGCAACAGAAGTACATTCACATGTTTCCAGATGACTTAAGAAAGAATGTATGTAGCAGCACTCTTCACAGTAGCTCAAACTGGAAACTACCCACATAGCCATCAGTTATGGAATGGATAAATGAATTACAGTATACTCATGCAATGAAAATTGCCAGCAGTGAGAATGAGCAGCTTAACACGTGCAACAATATGGGTGAATCTCACTATATATTGTTAAATGAAAGAAGCCAAACAGAAATGAATAAATAGAATACATACTCTATGGTTACATTTTATATACAGTTCACAACAGGAAAAACTCATCCCTGGTGTTAGTAATTAGGTGAGCTGTAGGCAGAGCATTAGTGACTGGAAGGAGACACAGGTAGGGCCATGGGTGCTGATAACTTCCCTTTCGTAATCTCATGCTGGTTACACAGGTATGTTCTGTTGTGAAAATTTATTGAGCTTTATCCTTACGGTTTGTGGAGTCTTATGACTGTGTTAAGTTTCAATATTTAAAAATCATATTGGGAGGATGTCAGACATTTCTGGCAGCTTTCCGGTGTGTTTCTACTTAGAAGTTAAGGTTCAGTACTGTGTCCAGGGTTCTTTGGTTAAACTCTGGCTCCATTGATGAATCTAGCCCTTTGTTTTCCTCTAAGCATTGACTTAAGCATCTAGAATAAATAAATGCATGTGATCTATATGATAATGTGATCTCCCTTAGGAAGTGGCCGATGAAGAAATTGCTGCCCTTCCACGGGATAGCTGTCCCGTTAGAATCAGAAACCGATGTGTTATGACATCCCGTCCCCGTGGTGTGAAGCGGCGCTGGAGGCTCAGTCGTATCGTCTTCCGTCATTTAGCCGACCATGGGCAACTTTCTGGGGTCCAGCGAGCAATATGGTAAATCTGCTCTGCAACCTACTGAACTTGCAGGGAAGCCAGTTCTGCAAGAAGAGACTTTTCTAACAGACAAAACCCTCGTCTTTATAGGGGCCTAGTATAGTTGTCTAGTCTACCTGATGCTGTCTATAGTTGAATTGCTTCTAAATTTTAAATAAAGAAATGTGGATGTTTCATTCTCTCAGTGAATTATCCTTTTTATTGGATTTAACAGATTAAATATACTGTTCCTACACATGGTGCAAAGAATAGAATAATAAAAAATATTTTCTGTGAAAATATTGTCTGAATGCCTTTCTTTTCCTTCACATTTAATCTTTTAGTAACATGTAAGGGTTTCTGGGAGTTCTTGAGTTTTTTTGAGATAGTCTTGCTCTGTCACCAGGCTAGAATACAGTGGTATCATCATAGCTCACTACAACCTCCAATTCCTGGGCATCCTCCCACCTCAGCCTCCTGAGTAGCTGAGACTACAGGTGTATACCATGTCGCTGGCTAATTTTCTTTTTGTAGAGATGGGATCTCACTGTATTGCTCAAGTTGGTTTTGAACTCCTATCCTCCAGTGATCCTCCTGCCTTGGCTTCCCGAAGTATTACGAAGTATTACAGGAGTAAGCCACACCTAGCCAGTTTCTGCATTTTTAACCATTTCAGTACCAGCATCGACTATAATCATCGACAGCCACAGATGAACTGGCACATCGACTTTAGCCGACAGCCATGATATGAGTTTTCTAATTTTCCATTTATCAAAATAAAATTGTGAACATTTAAAAATAACGTAATGAAAACATATATGTTACCTATCCTGATTTACATGACAAGTAAAGCTGCCTGTAAAGTAAAACAAGCTTTCAGTGCTTTCAAGCTTTCCTCATCACACAAGAGCAAAGCGGATTTGTTGTCAATGCACAGCACAAACTATCGTGCTATGAATGCTGACTCTGAGTGCTGGCTGTGGGCAAGGTTTCGTGGCCTGTGAGCGCCCTACCGAAGTGGTTAATGGTGCTTAGGTTGACGACTGGGTTCATGTAGGGTCAGCCTGGTCCCTGCATTTAAAAAGTTCACCATTGATTACCCTGTCACCTAATGGTTTTCACATTTCATTGATGATTGTTACCCTGATCTATTTCATTAAGGGTTTCAATGGTGATTTTCTAATTCCGTTAATTTTTTTCTGTATTAGCTGGATTTTTCTGCCAAGAATATTCCCTTATCTATAGTTTCCTGAAATAAACTGTCCTTCAAGGCAAGATAAATGCATGATTCTTATAAATTTTCAGAGTAAATGTGTAGGTGCTCTAGCCAGTGGAATGGATTAACGTTTTTCACTATCATTATGAACTTACAGGGTTTTTTATATATTTAAGGTTTCAATCCACTCATCATTCTTTTTGATGTTCAAATTGTCTCATCCATTCCTTAAGTTGGCTCTTGTATTGTTGACTTCGTACAGGATTATTCTATACTTCCTTGCTTTCTAGCATAAGATAACTGAAGCTTATCTTGTACATTTCCTGCCTCAATTTTTCCAAGGGTTCCTGTTCCTATTAGGACATGGTGTATAGAGACCACACTGAGCACTTAGGGGTGCTCATTGCTAGTGAATTGTTGTTGCATTTAGGTCCTTTTGGTGGGCCTTGCTAGGAAGTATTTTTGTAAAGATTATTTTGTAAAAATAATGGTGAGTTTATATTGGTTTTATAGTTTTATGTAAACATCCTAGCTCCTAATGACATCAGCCTATTTACCTTTTTCATAAAATATATAAAAAGCTTAAATATACTACTACATACTAAGACAATGTTAAGTTTTGCTGTCAAATTTTAGAGTTTTTACTCACTTTTTCAATCATGTTAAATTTTAGATGGTTCTAGAGTCAAAACTGTAGAAAAAGGTACACTCACAGTACAGCTTTCATACCCTATTGGTAACAATTTTTATTAGTCTGAGGTTTACTCTTCCAGTGTCTTTTAAAAATATAAACAAATATGTACATGTATTCACATTTCATACCCCTTCTTACACACACAAAGGTAGTATGTATACCATAAATAATGTTCTATATTTACTTAGCTTTTCCTCTTATTCTATCCTGGTGATCATACTATATCACTACACAGAAGCCATCTGCATTACTTTTTGTTACTAAGTATTCCCTCCTTGGATGTATCATAATCTATTCCCCAATAAATAGACATTTGGGTGCTTCTAATCTTTTGCATTTATCATTCCAAATTTTTGCCAGTATATCCTTTAAGCCTAGAAGAATTGAGTCAGGGGAATAAATGCATATGTAATTCTGATGTTACCAAATACTCTTTCATGAATATTAACCAGTTTATTTTTATTCCATTCCCATGTATATATGTCCTTTTCCTCCTTAGATTCAACATAATCAGTATTCTAAACTGGAGTTTTTCCAGGAAAAGGTAAGCAGTGTGGTTTTTTTTAGTATTTCTTATCTGAACAAGGTAACCATCTTTACTTATGTTAAAGATTATTTACATTTATTTTTCTATGAAGTATTTGTTCATAAATGTTGGAATCCTCAATGTGTCATTTGATTTTGGTTATGGTGGGGTTTTTCTTGCCATGTAAGCATTTATTTTTATGTATTTAAAAATTATTAATATGTAGTTTTACTTATAGGTTTTAAGTCACATAATGTAGTTTTCTCCTACTCTTAGGTTATAATGGAATCTCACTTGTGTCTTCTAGTACTTGTATCCTTTCATTTTTACAGTCACATCTTCAGTCTGTTTGGAATATACCTATATGGTTATTTTTAGTTATCTTAAAATCATTAAAAACCCATCTTTTGTATTCTAAAACTTTCATATGCTTTGTGTCTTTCTACTATTCAGTTCCATTGGTCTGTTTATTTATGTGCCAACACTACAATTATAGAGGTATTATACTGGATTTCAGTATTTACTAACAGCTATATATAGGCTGTTTCTGTATTTTAACTTTAAATCCTACTACTTTTTCCAAATTCTCTTATTAATTGTAGCAGTTTTGGTTGATCCTTTTGGATTTTTCCTTGTGTCTAATTGCTTTCTCTTATCTAAAGACATTGGCTTATACCTCTAGTACAATGTAGTAATGCAGATTGTAGGCACCTTGCTCTGGCTCCTGATTTCAAGGGGAATAAACAATTCCCACTAAAAACCTGACTTTTCTGACATAATGCTGGATAGACAGTGAAACTATTCCATTGAAGAAAATTTTAACTTTATTGAACATAGGAATAAGGAATAGATGGACTTTCATATTAATTACTTTTTGCTTTATGTTTATTACTTTTGTAAACTATCTGATCTATGGCAAGACTTACTAACTGGTACTATACAAAGATGTTTATGCTTGTCAAGTTTAGATTTTGTTTCTATTCTATATTCATAAACAAATATATTTAAATCTACATAGAAATATTTATGATTGGATTATTAGTGCATGGCATATGCATTGCTTAAGCCAGTAACATGGGATTAGCTATTCTACAGTAACCTTCAGGTACAGATTTGTATTGTATGCAAAAATTCAGGTTTTACTCTTACTTATTCTTACATTGGTGGGAGCTGATGTCAGTAACAAAGACAAACAAATACTTTTATTTTCTACCTCTTAGCTTAACAAAAATACACACAATGTAGCATTTTCATCAGGCAAGACTTGCTTTTTACATTTCACATGTGAATGCAATATAACCCTTTCTTGAACAAAATGACCAAGGTACTAATGAAACCATCTTTGCAGGAAATGTTTAATAAGCATATTTTATTTAAATAAATCCTCCAGTAAGAAATGGAGAATTCCTTGCCTTTACTTAGAAGGCTAGGTAAATAGTCAAATCTGTCAAATTTATATGTGTAGCTCACCAGCATTCCCTTACTGGAAACATCAGTTATTTCCACATCACAGTTCCCAAAAGGACTTTAAAGTCTCAAAATTCTGTGTCTCCTTTGGCTTGCTTCTCTCTTGATTCCACCCAGGCTTTATTAATGGTTCGCTTCATATCATCATCTCCATCTTCATAAATTTTCTTTAGAACATTCATCAATCCCTCACTAGGATCTGTTTCAGTGTCATAGGAGGGCTTTCTGTTAAAAAGAAAACACAAAATAAACAAGAAATGAAAGTATGGAATGATACAATTCAGGTTTTAACACTGGTAGGAAGTAGAGAGATAGAGAAAGAAGGATAGTGTATCTAAAAATCTTCACAATCAAAATAGCATGCACAAAGCCACCTTAATGAAAACAGTACAAACCCACCAAACATCCACACAATTGGTAATTAAAGACTGGTCACATCAAAACATTACGGGGTTGGGACTATGGGATTTCCAGTGATCCTTAGCAGGTAAAATAAGTATTTACTTTTCTGACTTAATTTTTTAAAACATGTGTCCTCATAATGTGGAAAAAATACTTTTATTGAAGGAAAAAACAAACATATATCACATGTGGATACATACTGAAGCTCACACATTTTTTATTAGAAAAGCCCTCCTCTTAAGCCTGAGACACATGGATCTGGGCCTGCTGGTGAGAACACTGTGTTTAATTAATGTGGCCAGTACCTCTAGTTCAATGAATGTCCAAACTGGGCCAGTTAACAATTAGGTTTAATTAATTCATCCAATTCATTTAATAAATGCCAGATTCTGTACTGGGCACTGAGGATACAATAAGACAGGGTCCTATACTCATGTAATTCACTCTAGATTTAAAATCAATTCCTGACATAGTCTAATATACCTAACTCTAGCTAACCACAGCCCAAATGCATACTGGCTATCAGAGGGGAAGAGTGAGAGAAATGTGGACAGCTCACTGACATAATGCAGTACACTACCACTGCAGGAGAAAATTTAAAGCAGAGGACAACTGACCTAGGATGGAAGTATATTTGTATATACATTTTTTAAAGCAGTTATTATTAAGAAGGATAAAAATATTCTATGTTTTTCAGTCTAAACCAGTGACAGTGATGCTACATGTTCAGAACATCCGAGGAATTAAACATACATGGGTATGTGGGTCTCCCTGAACTACTGAAATAGAATTTCTGGGAATGGGCACAGTATCTGTACCCAGAGTTAAGAACCTTTACTCTAAAGAGCCAACCACAACAAAGATCTTAAAAAGCAACTTGGATACATGCCCTCTTCAGGTAGATTCTGATAGTTAAAAGCAGGTATATAAGACAATCATCTTAGTGGACATCAGAGGAAAATGGTCAAACCAGACTATACAGCTCTACTATCCATAAAGACAAACTATTAAAAACCTATAATCCCAGGAAAGAATACATTAAAATTCTTAAAGAAATGAAAGTAGACGCACTCTTTTTCTTTGCATTCTTTTTCAACCTGAGTTAGGTAGTCCCATCGTGTGTTTTCTGCTTTTTTTCTACATAAGATAAGAACTGTATCAGTCTTGACCTGGAAGAAAAGCAGGAAAACAGGTTACAAGTTAGAGCACATGGAGATAAGCATGACTATTTACAAGACAATTATTTATTCAATTAATGAAGTGCCAAGTATATAGAAGACTTATCCTAGGTGCTAGTAATACTTTTATGAATAGGCCAGAATCTGAACACTCATGGAGAAAGACTGTACATAAGTAGAACTTGAATACCTTCAAATACTAATAAATGCTATCAAGACAAAGAAAGTGTCAATGGGGCATGGAAGCAGAAACTTCATTAGAAAGTGTCTCTGAGGCAAAATATGAGCTGAAGCCTAAGATCCAGGAGAACTTTCTAAGCAGATGGCACAGCAAGGAGAATGGCTCCAAGATGGAATGATCTTGATTTGAAGAAAAAGAGGAGTGATGGATGATAGTTTTTGGAGGAGAGAGTAATATAGTAAAAGGGGTGCAAGGGCAGGCAGGAAACCAATCATGTAAGGCAGTACAGAACAAGGGAAGGTGTATGAAAGGTGAGAAAATACAATTCTGTCAACAGTGATGAGTATAATTCCTTGGAATCTTCTGAGTATTCCTTCAACTATGTGATCAGCGGATGAAGAAAGATGCAGTAAGGCTAATCAATAAATTACATTTCAGTATCACCTTCAAGCTGCTACATAACTATAAACCAACGGCAGCACAGCATCTCTATATGCCTGATGCATTAAACCTCATTTATTCAAATTAGGTAGAAAAGAGGGATTTCTGAATTAGTGAGAAATATGAAAAGTAGTTTTTTAAAAAGCAGTTTCATTATTTTTATGTCTTCTACAAACTCCAACTAGGCCAAGTGCTTAAGACTTCCTTTTATATATCAGTATCTTACATATTGTGCTACCATTATTTAAGCACCTTACATGTATCATTTCATTTCAATGTATCATTTCAACTTTGTGAATAAATTATTATGACTATTGCATAAATGGCAACACTGAGGCATGGAGTGATTAAGCAAGCTGGCAAAGGTCACAATGAGTAAGTGGTATAGCTGGCATTAAAACTCAAAGTCTTGGCCAGGCGTGATGGCTCACGCCTGTAATCCTAGCACTCTGGGAGGCCGAGGCGGGCAGATTGCTCTGAGGTCAGGAGTTCAAAACCAGCTTGAGCGAGACCCCGTCTCTACTAAAAATAGAAAGAAATTAATTGGCCAACTAAAAATATATATACAAAAAATTAGCTGGGCATGGTGGTGCATGCCTGTAGTCCCAGCTACCTGGGAGGGTGAGGCAGTAGGATCACTTGAGCCCAGGAGTTTGAGGTTGTTGTGAGCTAGGCTGACGCCACGGCACTCACTCTAGCCAGGGCAACAAAGTGAGACTCTGTCTCAAAAAAAAAAAAAAAAAAAACCCTCAAAGTCTTAAGAATATCGCATTAAAATCACAAGGGAAATAATCTATTCTTATAAAATAGTTGGCTAACTTTATAGAAAGGGTCAGACAGTAAATATGATAGGTCTCATGAGCCACATGGTCTGTTACAGCTACTTAACTCTGCTACTGTAGCACAACAGCAGCCACAAACATCACATAAACAAACATGGCAATATTCCAATAAAACATTATTTACAAAAGAGGCGGCAGGCCATAGCAGGTCCCTATCAGAGGATAAATTAATTCTAGTTCACCTCAATTTAAAATCAACCAGGTTCAATTTCATGAAGTTTCACAATATTATGACAAAAAAAACCACACTCACTTTTTTTGAACTGCCTTCCACAGAGATGGGTTTCAAGAGATTGTTCACAATCATGGAGTAACTTTTCCCATTCAGATTCTTTACCAAAAGATCAAATGACCTACAAAACAATAGTGAGTACGTTATCTTTCTGGTTCTATGAAGGGTACTCTATAGTTCTTGTGGAAAAAAAAAAAAAAAAAAAAACCCACCAGCTTTACTTCAGGGTGTGCATTTGGCCATACCAGATGATTTTAATACTCACCTCTTTAAAGTAAATGTAAAAGATAATTAATTTTAAATTTAAGCAGAATTTTAGAATGTAAACTTAAAGAAACTGCAAAGAAAAGAGTACCATAAGCAATCTCTTAACGATCACTGTCTTTCCTATTATAATGGGAACTCACCTCTCTGTGAAATGCACCTGCACATTTTCAGTGGGAACTTGGTGAACTCCGGTTAAGGTAATGTAGATTTTCACAAACTTATCTGACTGATCCCATCCTAGCAACAAGAAAAACAAGATGGGGCACAAGTCAGTCTCTGAAACTATCTTTAGAACAGCAAATGCACATGGCTCTTAATAAAACTCAGTAAAAAAAAATGAGAAACCAATGATAGAAACATAAAAAAATAAAAAGAAATTTTCTAGACTGAGAAACTGAGCCTCAAAGCCCTTTGCATAACCCCAAATCGGGCATCTAACAAGAGGTACAACTTAGATTCAAGTCTAGGTTTCTCAACACACAGCCCATGCTCTTATTCCTTAGAATAAAAATATGATTATTAAATACGTTCTTTAAGATTAACTCATTTAGCCTTTTTGTGGAAATAATTTTTGCCTACACCTAAATACTGGTAGTTCTCCACTAAGCTGGATAGCTAAACATCAGTATTATCTAATTTTATAATCATTTCTACTTCTGTAATCAGTCTAACAAATGCAATCCTAGCTTCCTCAATTCCTTTCCAGAAGGGGGAATATAAATTCAAAAGATCTAATTCTTCATCCAAACCAGTAATTTGACTAACTTACCACCGTCTATAAAATGCCATTTCAGTATATATTATCACTATACAATAGTCTCTAACCTAGAGGAACTCTGCCAACCACATAAAAACCATTTTATGTTTATCAATAATGTATATACACACACATATCCCTGACTGTTCCTCACTTAGTCTTATAGAATAGAAATGTAGTGTTAATCAAAAAAGATGAGCTAGAGGTTTCTATAGAACTTTATCTACTTTCTTCCCATTCATTCAATCCATCCTCCAACTGACAAGTTTCTCTCTGAACAAAGATCTATGTTCCTGGTTAAAATGCCATAATTCTAGACATCTTAAGACCAGTTTCCTACAGTCAACTGAGTATATACAGTGCATCTCCTACAGTACTATATAGTACATTTATTACTTTTTTTTAAGAGATGGATTCTTGCTATGTTGCCCAGGCTGGTCTCAAACTCCTGTTTCAAGTAATCCTCCTACTTCAGCCTCCCAAGGAACTGGGATTACGGGCACAAGCAATTGCCTCCAGTTTACAGTACATTTTGTAAGCATGACATACACATTGCTTTTCACTGTGACAATACTCAAAACACATCATGCCTTTCAAGTCTCTATTCAAGTCCTTTGCTCATGCTGTTCCCTTCCTTTTCCACTTGCTGAACATACTACTTAGCCTTCAAACTCAAACTTAAAATCTTCTAATTCTGCCGGGCGCGGTGGCTCAAGCCTGTAATCCTAGCACTCTGGGAGGCCGAGGCGGGCGGATTGCTCGAGGTCAGGAGTTCGAAACCAGCCTGAGCAAGAGCAAGACCCGTCTCTACTATAATAGAAGAAATTATTGGCAAATAATATAATATATAAATTAGCTGGGGGCCGGACGCTGTGGCTCACCTGAAATCCTAGCTCTTGGGAGGCCGAGGCGGGCGGATTGCTCAAGGTCAGGAGTTCAAAACCAGCCTGAGCAAGAGCGAGACCCCGTCTCTACTATAAACAGAAAGAAATTAATTAGCCAACTGATATATATATATAAAAAAATTAGCCGGGCATTGGCACATGCTGTAGTCCCAGCTACTCGGGAGGCTGAGGCAGAAGGATCACTCGAGCCCAGGAGTTTGAGGTTGCTGTGAGCTAGGCTGACGCCACGGCACTCACTCTAGCCTGGACAACAAAGTGAGACTCTGTCTCAAAAAAAAAAAAAAATTAGCTGGGCATGGTGGTCCATGCCTGTAGTCCCAGCTACTCAGGAGGCTGAGGCAGAAGGATTGCTTGAGCCCAGGAGTTTGAGGTTGCTGTGAGCTAGGCTGACGCCACGGCACTCACTCTAGCCTGGGCAACAAGCGAGACTCTGTCTCAAAAAAAAAAAAAAAAAAAAATCTTCTAATTCTCTGAGTGTTCCTCACTTCTAGAATTATTTCTTCAGGGTTCTTCCTTTGATACTTTATAAATCTTGGTTCAGTTAAGCAAATATTTACCAAGTACATATTATGTGCTACATACTGTGAGCACAAAGAAAAATAAGACTGTCCCTGTCCTCCTGAGAGGTCATCACTCAGATTCAAGTTGCAGTGCTTCCAAAAGTAAAAAGTTTACATTCTGCTGAGGGAAAATGGTATTACTATGTTGTTATGGTATTAATTGTATGTCTGTGTCCCAACCACACAATGAGCAGAAACTGGGTCTAAGTCCTTGTTCTGTATCTATTAAAACAAGCCCAACCACAATAGTGGCATAGGTGGAGCTCAAAATTATTTCTTGAATTTTTTAAATGGATTCTTTTCCTGTTAATTTTGGTGGTGGTTTGGCAGAGTGTAACATAAACGTGACTGAACAACACAGCTGTGTTCCACATATACTGGATGTATTTCAGAATAGGGTTTTTCCTTGTTGCTACTCATCATCTTCATACTAAGTCATCTTACTCTCTTGTTAATAGCTTCTACAACATATCCTTTCCTTCTTATCTCTTAAAAAATAAAGCACTTTGTTAAATAAAAACCAGGAGTCCTCTTCCAAGCCACCCAAAACACACAATGAAAACTATTTTAAAAATTAGTTTCTCAGTGAATCACTACTGAGGAATAGGATGCTCAGAGGCAGAAGTGGACAAAAGGGTGCAAGTCATACCGTAATTACTGATTTTCACTGTATATCCCGTTGTAATGGGAGCAACCACAGCAGCTGGCTTTTCATTGTCAAGATGTTCTGCTTTCCTCTGTGATTTCTGTTGCATCTTGTTCTTGATTTCTGTTTCAATCTTGGTCTTTTCAGCTGTAAGGGCATCACGTACTCTTTTCCTACTGGCTTTTTCAAGCAACATCTTTACCTCTTCTAGATCTTTCTGTAACTGTGTTAAAATAAAAGGTAAGTTAGCTGTATGATAAATAAGGCAATGGTTTGATATTGTACTTATTAATTTTAATTTATTGCAATAAAAGCTAAGAATTATGAGGTTTATCTAAATTTTCTAGGCCTGAGTTGCTACTTGAATCCTCTCCTCCAGCCTGTTGAATTGTAAGTAACTCAAGCTTCCTCTTTTAAAAAGAAAACTTAATCTTTAACTAACAATAGGTAATCAAGCCTAATCCAGTTTTGTAGACTGTTACACAGCTTTGTTTTCAGGACATTTTATTGACAAGAAATTTTTATGATTTATAAAGTAGAACATAGAAATTTTTTTTAAAGAAATTCATGTATTTCTTTATAACACCCAGTCCTACTATCATTAGATGTTAGAAATTTTTAGAATATTAAAACAAAAGAGATGAGAACACATGCTGACCATGGTAAACTTTACTGAGGTAAGGAATGCTCTCCTTTCTGTGAGTGATTAGTCCTCACTCATCTTTCTACCACACAGAAAAAGTCTAAATTCTTATGATAAAAGTTTTTTTTTATAAATTCTGTTTTTAAGAAAAAGTCTTGTTCCAAAGTTGGGTCCAGCTTACAGTCAGAAGTCTATGACTTTGTTGCACAGAAGGGAAAACCTAGACAAAAGATCCAAAACAAAATACTTTCTTGGAAACTAATGTGAAGAGCCACCCTGTTTCTTGTTTTCTTCTCATGCCAGTACATCACCTACCAAAGTCTTCTACCTTCTACAAATGGAGCTAGCATTTTATGAACTTTAAGGGTTAAAGACACTTAGAAAATTAATAGGCTTTTTAATCCCCCCCCCCAATTATCCTCTGACATACTGCAAATAATCTAAGATCTTAGGCTGGGCGCAGTGGCTCACGCCTGTAATCCTAGCACTCTGGGAGGCCGAGGCAGGCGGATTGCTCGAGGTCAGGAGTTCGAAACCAGCCTGAGCAAGAGCGAGACCCCGTCTCTACTATAAAATAGAAACAAATTAATTGGCCAACTAAAAATATATAGAAAAAATTAGCCGGGCATGGTGGCACATGCCTGTAGTCCCAGCTACTCAGGAGGCTGAGGCAGCAGGATTGCTTGAGCCCAGGAGTTTGAGGTTGCTGTGAGCTAGGCTGACGCCATGGCACTCACTCTAGCCTGGGCAACAAAGCGAGACTCTGTCTCAAAAAAAAATAAAAAATAAAAAAAAATCTAAGATCTTTCCAAGCTGATTCATTTTTCTTACAATGACTTTACATTCTGGCTAGACAACTAGCAACTTGACCAGAAAAACCTTACATTATAGCCTGAGATTATATAAAAAGCTCAAAATAAAAATGATTAAGTGCTTAATAACTCAGTATAATATCAGAAGTCCAAGAGTTTAAAAAAGCCTTTGTTTCCTAATAGTCTTATAAAATGCAAAAACAGAACTAATGCTTTTCTTTTACCCCCAAGTCTTTTATTATCTCATTTAACTCAGAGGTCTTAGTTTTACCTATCTATAACAGATAACATGGTATAAAAAGTTCAACTGTGCCCAGCCTCCTGTCCACACTCCATCCTCCCAAGAAAAGCTCATTACTAGGACAAGAAAATTTTTTTAAAATGCAAACTCATCTTTTGAGCATAGAACCAAGATGTTTTAGTTCAAAGTAATCTTTTTATTACAATGGTTTCAAAAAAAAATCACATTGATTCTAATACCAATAAAAATACTAATAAAAATACTGAAAAGTAAAATGAGTTTTTTCTACATGGAGTATGGATTTGGCTAACAAAAACAAACAGAAACACACCAAGTCTAAACAAAAGGTTTTGCTTTTTAACTGGAATAGGAATCCTTTTTTCTAGCAAATTCAGAAAAGAACTGAGAATTAAGCAAGGGATTCCCATACTGGCTGAATTCCCAGGCCCTCTATAGTGCCAGTTTGAGCTCAAAAGTACTGTTTTGTAAGGTATCCACTGAAGCAACTTACAACAAGCCCCTTTTAGGCAGTTCCTCAGTTGTTATTTGCAGACTTGAAACCAGCAAAGGTGATCCTTTTGGTGCTTTTTCTGCACACTTACTTTAAGATGTCCCAGATACAGCAGTTTCTATCTATCTATCTATCTTGTAATTTTCCTTGCAGCCTTAGCATGCATTTGTTTTCCATATGCAAAATAGTATCTCCCTTTCATCCTAGTTTATCTTATAATCTGTTTCCATATTCTTCACTTGGAGACATTAAAATCAAAGTGCCGCAAAAATGGGCAAAGGAGTTGAACAGACATTTCTCCAAAGATATACAAATGGCCATCAAGTATGTGAAAAGATGCTCAACATCTTTAGTCATTAAGGAAAGGCATATCAAATCCACAAGATACCACTTCACACCACTAGAATGGTATCATAAAAACAAAAACACCCCATGCGAAAAACTGGAACCTTCATACATCTCTTGTGGGAATATAAAATGGTAAAACCACTTTCTAAACAGTCTAGTTTCTCAAAGAGTTATAGTTACCATATGACCGAACAATTCCACTCCTAGGGATATTATCTCAGAATTAAAAACACATCCATACAAAAATGTGTACACAAGTATTCACAGCAGCATAATAGTGAAGTGGAAACAACTCAAATGTCCATCAATTGATGAAAGGCTGAACAAAATGCTACATATCCACATAATGTAATATTATTCAGCCATAAAAACCTTGTGTACTGATACATGCTACACCATGGATGAACTGGAATGCATGCTAAGGAGCCAAAAACCAAAGGCCATACATAAGTTTGAGTCCATTTATATGAAATGCCCAGAATAGGCAAATCCACAGAAAGAGAAAGTAATCAGTGACTGTTTGGGGAGGGGGAGGGGTTAAGGAAGGGAGGAATGGGGAGCAATTGTTTAAAAGATACTTAATGGCTTTCTTTTTGGGGTGCTGAAAATGTTCTGAAAGGAGACAGTAGTGACAGTTGCATAATACACTAAAAACCACTTAGTTGTACACTTTAAAATGGTTAAAAAGATGAATTTTATCTCAAGCAAAAAAAAAAAAAAAAAAATGAAGTGCCCCTAAATGCCTATTTCTAAGTACCCAAATTGAGAAAGTTCCTTACTTTGAACAGAATATAACACTGAGCTAGCCCTATGTGTGACTGTAAAGCCACCTCAGAGTTCTCACGGTACATGGTACCCAAGGCTTATCTTAAACTTGTGGCAAAATACCCAGATTAATACTTAAAACATACAAACTTCATTTTTCTTTATTTAAAGCAGATTTGACTTAAAGACACATTTGAGATTTCCCAGTACTTGTTCTTTGTATTGAAGGGAAAATTACCTGGAAGCAAATCTAGTTAATAGATACCCAACACCTTACTGTGAGTAACAGTAGCTCGTCTTTATAGCCTACTGAGGGCCAGGTAAAGAGCAATGTTATTACTTACATTTTGTAACTTAGCAAACTAAGTCTCCAAAAAAGTTAATTCCCACATTCAGTTAATTCTCACAGAGATTTTTTAAAAGGTCAGTTTCCTACCATTAGTTACAACTAACTTTCCAATTATTTATTTAAAAAAAAAAAAAGGCATATAGCAGATTGCTGCTTGCCAAGTACTGGTTTAAACACTTAGAAATAATACTTATTCTTTTAACAATCCTATTAAATGGATACTACTGTGACAGAGAAGCAAAATAACTTGCCCTAAGTAACACAGCTACTCATGTGTACGGGAGATATGACTAAGAGAAAGTGCTGGGACCAAAGACCTCTCACCTTCCAGCTGCCCTCTGCCTTGAAATGACACCGAGTTTTTGCAACCAGCTTTAATTTAATGACGCGCCCTGTCCTAGAGCTAGTAAAACGGGAGCGGAAAAGCCCGAGGAAACGTGGAGGAGACCCGCTCTCACACATCCACCGCCGGCAGCACCTGCACTCAGCAATCACGACACACCCCTGCCGCTCGCCGCGCCGCGGCCGGCCGGCGGGCACAGGGCGGCGCAGGTGAGGGGCGAGGCCGAGAGGAAGCGCGGGGACCCGGCAGCGCGGGGACCGCGAGCCGCAGGCGGCCCCAGGGGAGTGCGCGGGATCGGCTCGCCGAGGGCGGCTCGGCACGCACACGGGGCGGCGGAGCGAGCGCCCGGCGACGCAGCTCCGGCAGGGGCGGGTGGGGAGCACGAGGCCGGACCCCTTACCTCTTCCAGAGCTGAAGCCATGGTCGGGCCGGGGCCGGCCGAGGGCCAAGCTGCAGCCACGCAGGGGAGGGAACAGGAAATGCGCACCGAGCGCGCTCACCCGAGGGCAGGCCCCACGGCAAGAGTCGCAAAGCCCGCAGCCCGTGCGCACACCCGGCGCGGGGCGCGATCACCGCCCGCCCTCCGCACGCGGTGGCTCTAGAACCTTCGCTAGGCTGCTACCGCCGCCGCCGCCCACCGGGAGTCCCGCCCGCCGCGTTCAGCCCCGCCCCATCGAGCCTTGCCCCGCCCACCCGCCGAGCCTCCTAGCGACGCCAAACTCTCGCGAGCGAACCAGTATTTCGAGAAGAGCAACACCTCTTCCTCCCGCCCCGACAAGTGTATGTATTATACTTTAACCGCGCTGGCTCAGGGTGCGCGGTTGCAACTCGGAACGGCTGCCTTAACCCAGCCCCGGAAGTAACGTACCGGTCTTTGGAGTCCTAGTCGGAAGTTGGCTAGAGAGTCGTTTGCTTCCGTCCTCTCTAGGACACCATACCAGCCAGGCAGCCATCTTGTCTAGGCTAGTGATCCTGCGCGAGAGAAAGGCAAAACGGTGGGGAGATGGAGCAACCTAGTTATGGTGAAATGGGAAAGAATGAACGCGTTAAGCGTGGACGTTTCCTGAAGAGAATAGTTTGACTTTCAGTGAGCTTTGTCGCACTGGAGACGTCACGGCGGTCTAGCATCTCCGACGTGGTGGCGTCATCACGGGCCGCGGTAGGAGGTGGGGCTGCTTTGGGCACGTGACCGGGCCCGAGGCTCACCCCGGGGTTACGGCAGCTAACAAAAGGCCGCCTTGCTGTGTGAGCGACCTCGGTCCCGCCTTTCCCTGTGGGACTCTTGAAACACCCTTTCCTGGTGCCTTCGACCTTTTCAGACCGTTCCAACAGTCTGATTCTCAACTGGGTTTGCATTCGTGAGCCTGTTGACCGTCGAAGGAAATACAAAATTTTCTTGCGGCAATGTTCCTTCCTGGTTCTAGCCTACCCAATTCAGCAAGACCCCGGAAAAACCCACTTGTCAGATTATTTTAGTCTCTGGCGTCATCAAGATGCCTACCAACACAGTTTAAATTATAACCCCTGAGAAGTCAGATAGCCCCCACTTCGCTTTATAGATCGCCCAAAGTAGCAATTAGAACATGCAAGTCAGAGAAGGAAAAAGCTGTTAGAAAAATGGGTGCTGACCATTATCGTAGTAAAGAATCAGAAGTGTGGTTACCGAAACGAAGCATGCATGAGTTTCATAAAAGATAGCGTTGAAGGAAAGAAGCCAGATAAATAAAAGTTCATATCGTTTGGTTCCTTTTAAATGAAGTCTAAAACCAGCAAAACTAGCCTACAATGTCAAAAATGAGAATAGTCGTTCCTTGGATGGGGAGCACAATGACAGAAATGAACCACCAGGGGGCTATTGAGGTCCAAGTTATGTTCCTTTTCTTGATTTGAATACTGGTTAGATAGGTGGGTTCACTTTAGAAATTTGAGCCATAAATTTGTATTTGTGTGCGTAGTTTCTTTTTGTAGGTCATACTCAAGGTCCTAAGAGAATTGTCCAGGGTGATAAAAATGTTACACTGATATATACAATTGTAAAAGTTCATGAAATGAACTCCTAAGAGCGGTGTATTTTATTGTATGTTAATTATACCTCAGTTTTATAAAAGTGTCCGACCATTGTTTAATAAAAACAAATATCCTATTGCATTGGATGAAAGCTTGACCTAATACAGTAAATGGTCATCTCCTTTTCTTAATAGCTCAGGCCAAAGAGTCATGCTTGAGTCTTCAATCTCAGGCCCTGTATCCTATCTTATGGCATGTCTTGCTGGCCTAATTTTCAAAATATGTTGAGAGTCAAACCACTTCTCACAACCTTAACTACTACCACCTGATGGGTTTCAGGACATGCTATCCCAAAATATGGCACCTTGGCATGTTGAAAACTTAACACTGAAGGAATTTGAGAAACGGCATGTGCAGGAATGGCTCTCTGACTCTCCTTCAACCTTCTCCCCTGAAGCAGGGCATAAGACCCTCATGTGAGAGGTGCTCTCCTTATACCTGGAGGAAAGGAGCATCCTTATTTCTGAAAACACAGGGACAAAAAAGGAATATGAACATCAGGCCTGCTAAGTCTCCCTAAATTTTTTGCCCTATCAAAATTTCCCACAACTCTACATTCTTCACCAAACCTACTATAAAAAACACTTAAGGTTTAACTGTTTCTTTGGGTCTTCATTTCCTTATGAAGGTTCCCCTTGTCATGCAAAACTTATATTACATAAGTTTGTATGCTTTTCTCTTGTTAGTCTGTATTTTGTTACAGGGGCCCCAGCCAATAAACTTAAGATGCATGGGAGGAAAAGTTATTTTTCCTAGCCTACACACCCAACTAAAGCTGAATGTTTAGCTTCCTAACTGGTTGCTCTGTTTCCTCACTGTGCCTTTATAGTTAGTTTTCCACAGAGCAGCCAGACAAATCTTTTCAAATCATTATATCCCTTTGCTTAAAAACCTCTAACAGCTTCCTATTGGGCTTAAAGTGCAAACTCCTTACTGTGAACTTTAAAGTTTTGCATGATCTTATCTCACCTTTATGAGCTTCCTGTCTTATTTCACAGAACTCATCTCCCACCCACTACTCTTCCCTCTCCCATTTCCCTGGTTTATTAACACTAGCATTTTGTTATTCCTTGAACCCACTGGGTTTGCTCTCACTTTCAAGTCTGTACTCTGTGCGTTCTCTCTGCTCAGAATGCTCTTCCTCTAGATCATCACAGATCATTTTTTCACTGTCTTTAGGTCTTTCAAAAGTAACACTAGGGAGGCTTGTCTGGACTGTTAGTTTTCAGTTGAAGAACAATCAGTAGGAGGTAAATAGGTAGATATTTATAGCAAGGAATTGGCTTCCACAATTGTGGAAATTGGTTCAGCAAGTGCAAAATCTGTAGGCCAGGCAGGCTGTGCCCCCTGAGAACAGACTGAAGCTTTCATCATAGGAAGTCAAAGAGGGAAGAACACAGGCCTGGTGAAACTCCATTCTTCTCAGGAAAACCAGCCTCAGCCCTGCCTTTAAGGCCTTTCAGCTGATTCAATCAGGCACTCCCAGGTTATCCAGGATAACCTTCCTTATTCAAAGTGAACTAATTAAGGGTTTAATTGCCTATGCAAAATATGTTCACAGCAACACTTGACTGAATAACTTGGTAGTAGGCTACCCAAGTTTCACATCAAAACCATTAGACCAACCATTCTACCAGTTTCACTCTTACTGGCCTTACCATTTCTCTCCACTCTCTTACCCTGTTGTTCTTTATACTTATTACCACCTGACATTTGTTAGTCTTTTTCCTATTTTAGCAGTCATTCTCAATGAGGGGCAAATTTGGGTATTTTGCTGTCTCTTGTCCTCATATATTTGCCTTTTTTGGTTGTCACTACTGGGAAAATACTGTTGGCATTTAGTGGGTAGAAGCTGGGAACACTACTAAACATCCTACTACATCCTACATAGATTACCCCAAGGAAAAAAAATCAGCAATGCTGAGATTGAGAAACTCTGCACTAGAGCTTAATTTAAGGATCTCTTTGTTCACCTTATTTCTAGCACTTAGAATAGAGACCAATACAGTAGACAATATTGCTTTAATGAATTTACTAGACCTGGTAATCTATTTTTAATACACGTCCAAATGATTAACAAGGAAGTTTGGGAAGTAATCCCTAGATATTGAGAAAAGGCTTCAGATTCTTGATTTCAAATAGTTTCTACTACTTATTAGCTGTGACTTGGGGCTTGTTATTTAAACTCTCAGAGGCCTCTATTTTCTATGTTTAAATGGGGACTAGAATATCTAGTAACATTGTTTGGGAATTAAATTCAGGACACTCACGTAAAACTGTTTAGCATAGTCCCTAAAAATAGTAAGCAGTCTATAAATATTAGCTCTGATTTTATTAGCCACCTACATCCATGACCACACCTTAGACCTTATTGTGTCATAGAGCTGCCCCTCTCTAAAATCTGAACCCTTAAAAGCCTATGTTCTGAAGGCAGTTTTCTCGGGTTTTTTTCCAGCATTCCTACTTCCTAATTGAGACTCTAACCCTTCTGCTTTCCTTTCCTTTAAACAAGGCTGGTGATTATCTCCAGTCTCTCCTTTCTTTCCTTTTTGCCGGCATCTAACTCAAATCTCCCATGCTTGAGAGTCAACAAAACAAAATCAATTTGGTGTCTACTTGCATCCTATAACTGTCCTTACAAATAACATGTAGAAGCAAAACCAACTCCTTGCCCTGCTGCCATTCTGAGTAATTGGTACATTTGGATCCCCAAATCAGGAAAAACAGAAAACTTTGCATCCTGAGATAAACCAAAAATGATGACATTACTACCACCACACAAACACACACACACTCACTGTCTCTTTGGGATTATCCTGTCTAGTTGTAGTTACACGTATAAATGAAACTTTGAGCCTGAGACTTTCCCATAAAATTAGATTCCCTAAAATCAATCAAAAACACTTTAACTTTTGCAATGCTCATGTTTGAAAACGTGTTAGTTAATATGACAGTGTGAGACTTGTTTTTTTCTACCATGAAGAAACTAATTCTAGACTCTATAAACTTGGAAGTTGTGTTTTTCCTTTAAATATTTAGTGTAATTTCTTTCTGGTGAGCCAGTTCTTCTAAAGCAGGGGTCCTCAAACTTTTTAAACAGGGGGCCAGTTCACTGTCCCTCAGACCGTTGAGTGTGCACTGTGGGCCTGGGACGAGTCAGCTGCTAAGCAGAACAGGCAGCAAGTGGCAAAAACACCTGGAGGACGAGATAAATGTGCTAGGCCGTAGTTTGAGGACGCCTGTTCTAATGCATGGATTTCATTGTAAATTTTCCTTGCAAGTAAACTTTTAAAAGACACTCATACAAATATAAAATGAGCATGTGTGTGACAAATATTTTATTCAACTTATTAATGAGGGAACTAGTAATATATTAAAATTACTTCAAAGTGTATTTGAGTGGCTGGGTTTATAGGCAATTTAGCAATGGAATGTTACTTTAAGGTTACAAGGTTGGATACTAACTGGTTAATGTCCCACAGGGTAATAAACTATAACCTTTGGTGTATCTGTTCTGCTGGAAAGAAAATAGTGATTTGTATTCCTCCTGGACAAAAGCTGTAAATTAATGTGCAGATTAAGTGTAGGGACCTTTAATCAATAGTAAATGGTGAGATGTACAAAGTGCAATACCGTAGTCCTTGGTTGGACATAGAAAGGACTTAGTACTCATCTTTTTGCTTTGTTTCCAAGTTTTGGAGAATTTTCCTTTCAAAATAAAGTTCTCTTAGTTATCCTATTGCAGTCAGCTTTCCTTCCTCCCCCACTTACTGCTCATGTCAAGACCACTCATGACCTCCTGACTGCCAAATTCAATGGATATTTTCTGAATAATTTTTTTTCCTTTTGCTTTTACTCCCACTGTTTCCATTGAGCTAGTCAGCAAATAGGGGAAGGACCTTCCAGGGAGTACACAAGATATGGAATGTTCATGAATTTGAGTGTTGTCCTGGCATAGGGGGCCACACCAATCTTCTCTATATCATTTCGATTTTAGTGTATGTGCTGTCAAAGTGAGCACTTCTGAATAATTTTGACTATTTTACTTTT